TCTTTCAACACATGTTCCTTAAGTTTGAATGGAACTACTCAGTCTCGCGGTCAAATTCCTTACATCTTATATTATAGGTAAGTAGAAATATCTTATACAAAAATTTCGTCATAATATTTTGTTTAACTTAGACTTTCATGTATGCATTTTTAGTAATAACCACGATAAGAATTGCGATTATGAAAAGAAAATTTGTAATAAACTAAAAATTCGAAAGAATACTTTAGGTATACTGACTACTATCGTAAAAAAGTTATTAGAGCTATTGAATATCGGAAGTGTAAAAATAAAAAAAGATCATCTTGTATATAAATACTTAGGAGAATCAGCGATGGTAAATATTCTTTTACCTCTAGTGTTAGCACACATTGGACCATTAACTTCATTTTCAAAAGATGCCAAGGTATAAAAATGATTTTAATTTTAATTAAAAATCATAATAATTTAATATTATATAATTACACTAATATATTAATATATAATGATAATCATTAATACTTTAAAATCGTGATTAAAGTATATTTTATTGTCGTATGTTTTTTACAGAGCGCTATCCACGTTTTAGATCTAATTAGAGAGTTGTTACCAGCTGTGACATCTCTAAATTTATTTGCCGCTGACAAGTTAGACGTCTTGCATAAAGATTTGTACGATAAATTAGANGACAAGTTAGACGTCTTGCATAAAGATTTGTACGATAAATTAGACAACAGTCCAAAACAAATAATAAAGTCAAAACAACAGACAAGCGAAATCAAGGATCTTAAAGGCATGACTACTTCTCATCATTATGCTTGGGTAGAAAGCAATCATCCTTACAAAGCCGCCACCGTATCGAATTACAAGTATGTTGACTGACGTTTATAATTGTAACTTTACATTAAATTAAACAAAACTAAAATTGTGGTGTTTAGAGTAAAATTTCCAAATGAGGTCAAGTGGTTATGTTTGGAGTTTGATCCACGTAGTTGTACGGCTCAGATAGAAGACTATTTACAACTTTACATTCCCAACTATAGAGACATTAATACAGATGACGACAACAAAAGAGTGGGAACTACACCGTACATACCGGTGTTAAAAAAATTCAGTAATGATCCCTTAGAATGGCCTTTCGCTGCTATTATGTTGCCTGGTAAGTAATTTGTACTTTTACTAAATTTTTTGTTGACGCCATCATATCTTTTAACAGGAAACGAGGTAATGTTTTCTATGGAAACGGCTTCAGACTACATGAAAAATGATAAGGCTTCTCGATACGGATTTCGATGTCTAGTGATTGGATACGAAGCCGAA